TCAGTCTGAGGGATGTCCTTGGGAACTGGGGACAAAGGCCACTCCTGGCCGTCCCCGGGCCCCTCCTGCAGCCTCACTGCTACCACGCATGGACTCCCCATCCCCCCCCCCACATGCCCTCGGGGCAGGCGGACCTCCCCAGGCTCACCTGTACTTTCTGGGAGAACCCCCCCAACCCACACACCCACCTTCACGGAGTAGGCAAAGGCCACGAAGCCCAGGCAGCACCAGTTCATGAAGATTGTGTTGAACAGGGACCAGACGATGTGGTCGGGCACGGACGTCTCAGTCTGGATGTTGATCACGGTGGTGGCCATGGGAGCTGGGTTCTGGGGCCCCTCCAGGATGTCCACCTTATTGTCCTTTAACATCTCCAGCTTTGGAATGAGCAGCCGTCCCAGGTGAACAAGCGTTGGGAAATGAGTTTCTGATGCAGAGAGGGAGCAGGTGTGGTCTGGAACCCTGATAGGGTGCTTAGGGCCCCTCCTTCTCCAGGGTACATTTAATTTCTCAGAAGTTTCTCTTTCCTGTTTTGCATGTGGGTGAAACTGGTGGGCACTAAGGAAGTCGGCCAGCTACTGAGTGTCAGTTTCCACCAGAGCATGGTGGGACGAAGGGCTGTGTTTACCTCGTCTTTACTTTCTGTTACTATAATTTATGTAACTCGTATTCTATATTACTTGATTAAAATTTTTTTGAATGTTTTTATTTATTTTTGAAGGAGAGAGAGACAGAGCATGAGTGGGGGAGGGGCAGAGAGCGAGGGAGACAGAATCCGAAGCAGGCTCCAGGCTCCGAGCTGTCAGCCCAGAGCCTGTCGCAGGGCTCTAACTCACGGACTTCGAGATCAAGACCTGAGCCGAAGTCGGACGCTTAACCGACTGAGCCACCCAGGCGCCCCTTGTATTTTTATTCATGTAAAACGCATAACAGAACTTGCTGCTTTCCCCATTTTACGGTATCATTTAGTGGCTTCTTGTACACTCTTGATGTGCAAACATTACTCATAGTTAATCACAGAACATTTTTGTAACACAGAAACCGAATCCCATATGGATCATTCAGTCCTTCCTGATTTCCTCCTCTCCCAGCTCCTGGCATTCAGTGATCTCTTTGGCATCTCTCTTGATTTTCCTCGTCTGGAGTGTCATGTGTATGGCTTGTGTAATGTGTGGTCCTCTGACTGCCTTCTTCCACTTCAAATATTGTTTTGAAGCTGAATTTTGTTTTAGCATCTGTCACTACCTCTTTCCTTTTGATGGCCAAGTAATACTCTGTCCTATGGATATACCACATTTTGCATCCAGTAGTAACTTGCTGGACATTTAAACTGTCTCCGCTATTTGGCTACTATTAATGATGAGTGTTTCATTCATTCAGTGCCCAGTAGTGGATTCTGTTTCATTATCTGAAGAACTCTGCCATAGCGTTTTCCCTACTGGCTGCACGGTTCTATCTCACAGCCGCGGGTGCAAGGATCCCCATCGGTGCACGTCCCCGCCAAGGCTGTCGGCTTCCAGTGCTCAGCCCCAGTGTCCACGACGCCCGTGCTTGCTGCGGGGGAGGCATCCCGCCCCCCACGCCGCCCCCGTGACCAGGTCTCAGGTTTTTAGGAGGCTGCCCCCGCCTGTGGCCTTTCTTTTCCCGCGTAGGTGGGAAGGAGAAGCAGGGCTTGGAGGGTATTTCTCTTCTCCACGTTGGTCAGGCTCTTCCCGAGGCCAGGTCTTTGCTGAGGAGGACAGAATACTCTGGGCGTATTTTAAAATGTTCATGTTCTCTTCCCCGCCAGAAGCATCAGGGGCTTTTCTGTACTCTTCACTCTGAGAATGTGGTTTTCTCAGCCCCCTGGAGCCGTAGGAGTTTTACTCCCTCGACTTGGTCCTCAGTCCCCCCGGGAGTCAGTACCTTGGGGGGTTCTGGTAAGTGACCTGTGCCTCTTCTCACCTGTGCCTACAGTTTGGGGGCTGTGGCTGCGATTTCTGAAACAGCCAAGGCGAGATCTTGGTTTCCAGTTTCTGCATCTTATTTCCTGTTGTGAAGCCCAGAGTGAAAACCTCAAGAAAACCTCCAGGGTCTTTTCGTCACCACAGACCACACGTCTGTTTGTGTTGGATTTTTAAACTTCAGTTACTGCCCTTTTCAGCTACTGATTTTTCATATTTTTAAAAAATAATTTATACCTTTTCATTGGTGTTCTCTGTTTTGTATAATGTTGCCTCGCACCTTTCTTCACCTCCTAAAGCATCTTTCCTTTAGCTCTGTGATATTTGTAAGGGCTGTTTTGAGTCTTTTCCTGTTAAAGCCAACATTTGATTCTGTCACACGCAATCCCTGCTACCTACTCTCTCTCTGGGGTATGGGCCATATTTTCACGTTTCTTTGCTCACCTCCTCAGTGTCTGTTGGAACCAGTACAGTTCAGACAGTATGTGGTGGTAGCCCTGGGTACCAGCCCCCACCTTCCAGGACTGCTATTTGCTTGTTTAATGTTTAGTGTCTGTTTATGGCTTGCTTCTCTTCCTCAGCTAGATTTTGAGCCTGTTCCCTGGAGCTGCAGGTGGGAACAAAGGTCGGCTTCTATCTGAGGGACCCCCTCCCCCACCAGCCACCCAGGAGCTGAGTGCTCAGTGGAGGGAAAGCAGCTTCCTCTCCTGGCATGGAGAGCCTCTATGTCATGACCCAAAGCAAGGACAATCGGGGGCTCATGTTCTCAGTGCTTCAAGCCCCAGGAAGAGCCTCTGTTCCATAATTGGGAGCTGGGCAGAAGAAGGGAGCCCCAGTCTCCCACTTGACCCAACTGGGGCTCAGCCTCAGGCAGCTGGGCCAGATAAGAGGCCATGAAGTCCTCCTCCTCCTCCTCCCTCCGGCTGAGTGCCAGGTAAAGAACCCTGTGCCTGGCTGCTCCAGAAAAGTCTGCTCCTTAGGACCTGGTGGGGAGAGGGAAGGAGAGGGAGGGTCTACTCTTGGTTGCTATGGCACAGGTTTACCTTTCTGTCTACATTTTCATAGATGTTCTCGAATAGATCTTTGTTCACTTGCTGCCTATCTTTAGGGCCGTTGCCAGAGGTTTTACGTGGTTATTTTGAACAATAACCAGCAGTTTCCCTGGCGAGTATGCCAGCTCCTGCTGCCATGCTGGAAGCCTTTCCCCCGGGAGTTTATCAGAGGCATTTCTCTGTGGTCTGGTGGCCGCCCTGAGCTGCGGCTGCAGACTCCTGGGCCCAGTGAAGGGAGGGCCGCCCTGTGGGGGTGGGGGGGGTCATGCTTCCTCTCCCCAGATTCTGAGACAGAGGCTGAGGCCGCCCTGACCCTTCCCTGCGGTGTACCTGGGGTTCTTCGTCCTCAGGTTAGATTTCAGAATCTGGTGAGAATTTCCATCCTGTAGGTGGGGCTCTCTAGGAATCACGGACCTTATTCTGGAAATCATCAGCTTTTTCTGTCCAGTGGTTACAGCTGCCTGTGAACATCTCAGAGATTTCCAAAATGGTTGATTTGCATGAAACTGGTGGAAACTGGCCCAGGCCGATGAAAGCCTTACAGACGCCATCTGCCACCTTCCTGCCTCCGGACTCTCCATCACAGCCAGTGGCTCCTACCGGTACTGGGTCTGCTAGTCCCGGGGAAGGGGTTGCAGTGGGTACGTTCTCCTGGAGTCAGACAATGCTGCCCAGCCTTCCTGAGATGCAGCTCCAGGGACAGACCTCCTCTGCAAGGTGGCCAGGTGGATGCCGGGCTGTGGACACTCCGGACCCCCTGAGCACAAAGCTCAGCCTCGGGGCAGACATGGAGGGTGACAGAGGCATTTCCTGTTGGGGCCTGGGGTCTTCCTTGTACTCATTCACCCGTGAGTCATTCCCATTCACTTCTTTAATATTTTGCCATGTTAGCTTAGCATCTCTCTCGGGACATCCTTTTCCGTAGGGATTATAAATTTTAATAATACACACACACACACACACACACACACACACACACTATTTCGCACCTCAGGCTGACCTTGAAGTCCTTCATGAGCAGGAAGTGAAAACCAGGGAAGGCTTATGAATTGCTAGAGAACTGAAGGTGTGTCTCCCCCCCAAACCCTTCGGCAAACACTGGGAGATTTATTGGTTGCAGGCACTTAATCTTTGTGCACACATTAGCTCACCACCAGAGTAACTGCACAGAAACTCTGTGTCTACACTCAGCACAGACACAAAGGCCTCCCCAATCAGGGCGAGAACATCCCTAAACAAACAGCAACTGTGACATCGACAAGAGTGTGGGCCGCAAAGCCGGCTGGGCAGAGGGCCTGATATCCAGGGCTGCCACATTATGTTACTGAAAATGTCTGCTTTTAGGGGCATCTGGGGGGCTCAGTCAGCTGAGCCTCCTCCGACTTCAGCTCAGGTCATGATCTCACGGTCATGGGTTCAAGCCCTGCGTTAGGCTCCCTGCTGTCAGCATCGACCTGCTTCAGATCCTCTGTACCCCTCTCCGTCCCTCCCCTGCTTGTGCTCTCTCTCTGTCTCTCAAAACTAAATAAACATAAAAAAAAAA